CAGGTTTTTTTTGTTTAAGCTGAAGGTGAGGACTAATAGTCCATTTATATTCATTCACTTACTCATTTGACAAATATGAGATGGGCCTCCCTGGGCCAGAGTGCGCTGGGTGACAAGGAGGCAAAATTAAACCAGTCCCTGCTCGCAAGGGCTCATTCTCTTATGGGAGATTGAAATGAAAGTAAATAATTTTAATAAAATGTGACCAATACTACAAAGAAGGAATAATTCATCACAGGATGATGGTAAAAACTCAACAAATGACATGACTTTCCGCCTTTGCAAGATGGTTGAGATTTTGCAGTCTCAGAAGAGGGGAGTGTATTTAAGTCTGAGAATAACAGGTGCAAAGGTTTGAAGGTGGAAAAGATCCTACGTTGCAGGCCATGTTCACTGCTGATCGTCATTGCCTAGAAAAGTGCCTGGTAGGTGCCTTATAAATATTTATGATTAATATTTAGGTAAAAGTATCTATTAATCATTCTTTGTAGGAGGAAGTGGTGGGAACTGAGGCTATAAAGGGAGGTTGAACCATCTAGTGAAGGAATGATATACCACGCGATGGGAGATGGACTTGTACTTTGGAAAGTCTGGGAAGCCACTGAAGATTTTAAGCAGGGAGCGGACATGGATTAAATGTGTGTTTTAGAATAATAACTACCCACAGTCTGAAGGATGGATTAGGGAGGGAGGAGAGACTAGAGGCGAGGAAGTAATAGGAGGCTATTCAATGAAAAGAGAGGATGAGTTTAGCAGATAAATTACAACACAGAATTAGTGAAGTTTAATGACTAGATTTGGGGAAATGAGAAAGTAGAAGGGAATTCAAAAATGACCTGAGGCTTTCAGCTTGAGGATATGGATGGACCGTGGACCAGAGAAGCAATTTTACATGTGTATGTACAAAAAAAGTAATATGCTCAGTTTTGGAAAAGTTGAGTTGGAGGCACTTAGAGACATTCTGGATGAAATGTCTGGAAGGCAATTGGGAAATGGTATTTAAAATCAACCTGGAATAGTCAACCTAAATTCTTGTTTCCCCTCCTTACTAAAGGCATAACAGTCATATTAAAAGGCCAGTACCTGGAGAACAACCCTGGTTTACTGCTATGTACTACTCAGCCCTGATATAAAGTCAGTACTATAATTTGTGTGCTGTGTGTGTGGGAAGGGGTAGGTTTTGTTTATGCTTATTCTAAATTCACGGAAGGAAAATAAGTTCATGTAATTTAGGTGAAGTATGAGAGTAGGCTTATATAGAATCGTTCCATAGATTACAAGTTAATTATGATTATGTACTGTATAGAGGACAGGCAGGGAGTGTTATTGCCCATTTGCTGTCAGGCAAACTAAGGACTGACTAGGTTGTGTGAATTGATTAAGTATTGAGATTTAGAGGCAGAAATAAAATGGAAATAGACATTGCTTCCTATTGTGTTATGGTCTTTTCTAAAAAGGTTTCTTACTATAAAAGTTATGCATGCTCATTTCATAGAATTTATGAAATACTGGAAGAGAAGTATACTAATCCAGCAATAACCAGCACTAACATTCTGACGTATTAGCTTCTGGTGTTTTTTGAAATATATATTTTATACAAATAAATATATTTTACATAGTTGCAGTCATAATGTATATCCAATTTTGTACTTACTCTTGAAAGTTTACATTATACATTTTCTTAAAAATTTTACTAAAATCATTTCTATAAATTTATCAAAACTTGTAAGATCAAATTACTTTGTCTTACTGGTTTGTGTGTATGTGTTTTTTCTTTTTTTTTCTTTGACAATTTGTAGCACATTCAGAATTCTCTTATTCTGAAAATACTGTTATGATCTACGAAGCTTTAAAAGTTTTCTTTGAGAATCTGGCAATAAGTGTTATGCACTATTGCCATTTCTGGGTCTTATTCAGTGTATTTAGAATTTAATTGTCAAATCATCTTTAGCAAAGTATTGCCATTATAATATTTATTAAGCATTGTTTCTCTGTCTCATTTTTTACCCAAGGGTTTGAGGCGTATATCAGCATAATTTTCATATATACATAAAACAGTCAGTCTAGCTGGTCTTTATTTTTTTGCAAATGAGTCTTTTGGTGTTACCATTTGTTTTCCTTTAGGAATTTCTTTTTTTTTTTTTTCTTTATTTTTTCCCCCAAAGCCCCAGTAGATAGTTGTATGTCATAGCTGCACATCCTTCTAGTTGCTGTATGTGGGACGCGGCCTCAGCACGGCCGGAGAAGCGGTGCGTCGGTGCGCACCCGGGTTCCGAACCCGGGTCGCCAGCAGCGGAGCGCGCGCACTTAACCACTAAGCCACGGGGCCGGCCCTAGGAATTTCTTAGTACCAAAAAAAAGCAGTTTATTTGCGGTTTATTTCAAGAGGTGAAAACAAAAATAGTTTTCTCTTTTTATTGTCAGAATTAGAGATTGTCAGTCCTTTTCAACTCTTTGTTTATTTGTTGGATTTGACCTGGCAGCACTGAAAAAAAATGTTTTGAGGTTAAACCTAAACCTTTGAAAGCCCTCTATTAGAGTAGGCTGAATATGAGAAAAATCAAAAATTTATTTTCATATTGCATTTTCTGATATGTACTGTTCATTTCCAAAATCTAGTCTTAAATCTTTTCTGATATATTCAGGTTTATGAATTCTGTGGGCTTTCATGAGTATTTATTTACAGAGAATTTGTTATTTTTGGTCTTCTACTTCTTGGTCTTTTTTCTTAACGGTTACACTCTGGAGCAGAGACTGGCAAACGTTTTCTGTGAAAGGCCACTTAGTGAATATTTGAGGCTCTGTGGACCACAGAGCTCTGTTGTAGCAACCACTCAGCTCTGCCTTTTTAATTCAAAAGCAATCACATGGGCTATCTGTGAAGAAATGGGCGTGGATAAACAATACAACTTCATTTACAGATATAGGCAGCCATTTGTCCCTTAGTAGTAAGTAATGGGGAGAAAACAAACAAAAACATTGGGATAACATATGACTAATCTATTAAAAATGCTTTTCCTTTTCTATTATTTTAGTTTATTTTAGCTCAGAATGAATGTTTATTTTATTGCCACTTTTTTTTGTTTGTGTTTTTTTTTGTGAGGATAATTAGCCCTGAGCTAATATCTGTTGCCAATCCTCCTCTTTTTGCTGAGGAAGATTGGCCCTGGGTTAACATCTGTTCCCATCTTCCTCTACTTTGTACGTGGGGCACCTGCCACAGCATGGCTTGATAAGAGGTATGTAGGTCTGCACCCGGGATCCAAACCTGTGAATCCCGGGCCACTGAAGCAGAGTACGTGAACTTAACCACTGTGCCACCAGGCCGGCCCTTATTGCTACATTTTTAATAATAGCAGAAGCATACAGTTTCAGTGCCATTGTATAAACATCTTCTTTAACTTATCCATCAGCCTGTTGTATTATTTTCTGCAATCTTTGATTTTTGACTGGCACACATTGTTAGAACACAGCAACTGATTTTGAACCACACCAAAAATTAACTCATCTTTTTGGGTATTTTTTAAAACAGAATATACATTCATATTTTAAAAAATTAAGTCATTAGTGAAGAAATTAGTACTAACGGCCCTTGTCTTGTAATGGATTGGGATTTGGATCAAGTATAGATTGTGACAGCCATAGTGAATTACTTCCATATTCTACCATTTGTAAACCTGAGCACTTTATATTTCTTTTCCAAGAAGGTGAACTCTGAGATGTAAAATCTTTTCTGCAGGGTTCCTCTGGGGCCCTTCCCAATATTATGTGGCTCTCAGAGATAGGTCACGTTTTCTGAATGTTATGTCTGATTGCTGTAAATGGCCTGCATCCTCGTTATTGACACGGCAAGCTTGCTCTGAAAAAATGAATACAGATGTACACTTTACTTTTTCAAATTCACACTAAAAATTCTGAGAATGAAATTTATTTTCTATTCTCTTTTTTAAACTTTATGATAAGAAAGGATATATTCCATTTTATCTTCTCTGATGGCTAATACCTAGAAGTCTCACTATTCTTAATCAGACTTTGTATATTGTGTATTTCTATTTATTTTTGTATTATTTTATTTTGTCTATTTCTCATGTTTTGCAAACTGAGAAACATTTTCTATTATAAATCTCTGGGAGAATGTAATGATCTCCATGGGTTAGGATGCATTGTTGCAGGGTTACACTTGGCCTACACAAGGTATGCCCCCCATTGAGGACTTCACTCAGGCCTGTGCTGCCCTTTCCCATCTGGAGAATGGTCGTGAATGTGTTCTCTAAGGCCCCACTTAAATGTTGCTCTCTTTCACACCTCTCTAGGCAGAATTACCTGCTTACTCAACTGAACACTGAATCTTTGCCTTGTCCTTACTAAACTGTTTGACTTTTCCTCAGTAAACTGTGATTTTATCATTTTTGGTTATCAATCCCCTCTCCCAAACACTACCTGTCCCCTCTCACACATGATAAACACATGGGGCACACAATACAGTCTCAAGCTGTATGGCAACGTTTCGGTCAATGACGGACCCCACATACAATGGTGGTCCCATAAGATTAGTACCATATGGGCCGGCTCCATGGCTTAGCGGTTAAGTGCGCATGCTCCGCTGCTGGCGGCCCGGGTTCGGATCCTGGGCGTGCACCGACGCACCGCTTGTCCGGCCATGCTGAGGCTGCGTCGCACATACAGCAACTAGAAGGATGTGCAGCTATGACATACAGCTATCTACTGGGGCTTTGGGGGGGTGGGGGGGAAGATTAGTACCATATAGCCTAGGTGTGTAGTAGGCTGTACACCTACTAGGTTTGTGTAAGTGCACTCTATGATGTTTACACAATGACAAAATTGCCTAACGATGCATTTCTCAGAACATATCTCCATTGTTCAGTGACATATGACTATAATTATATGTCGAACTGAATGAATACATAGAGAAAAGGGAAGATACTGGTCATTGTAGACTGGTTAATCATATTTTTCTCCTTTCTCTGTTTTATCTTTAGGTATTCTTGAAGTTTTACACTGTGTGTTAGTAGAAAGTCCAGAAGCTCTAAATATTATTAAAGAAGGACATATTAAATCCATTATCTCACTTTTAGACAAGCATGGAAGAAATCACAAAGTAAGCGAACCATTTTATTGCCATGAATGAATTCTGGAATCATTTTAATATACTATTAAAATAAGATAACTTTTAAAAGATGTGTCAAATTTTTCATGACTTTTTCATTTCAATTAAAACCAGGTAATATTGTTTAGTGTTTATTCATAGCATCCATGGGAGAATGAGCAGTTCTCAATCTGTATATGAAGGAAAGTTGTAAAATAAGTTTACGTGTTGCTGTCATGTTTAAATGACTGGGTGCGAGGGAACTGGAGGGAACGTGTTTGCGTTTGTGGAAGGTGCTGCTGCTACTTGCCTCTGAAAAGGGAATTAGAGTCGGCTGAAAGTGATTTCTCTTTTCAGGTTCTGGATGTCTTATGCTCCCTCTGTGTTTGCCATGGAGTAGCAGTCCGTTCTAACCAGCATCTCATCTGTGACAATCTCCTGCCAGGAAGAGATCTGTTATTGCAGACACGCCTTGTGAACCATGTCAGCAGGTAGATTCAGAGAGACAATGTCACTGCATAGATAGCATAACAAAGGAATTCATGTTCTAGCTCTGCAGCTAAGACATCATATGGACTATTTGTTTTATTAGGATCTTTTATTTATTTCCCCACTGAACAGTATAAGAATTTTTTTCTACCAATCAAGTTACGTAATAACAATAGATGAACCAAGCAAAATACTCATTTATCGAACAAATATATAAGAGCTTTCGTTCACATTCCTATGTAGCTGGATTATCACTGACATCTTCAGGAGCAGGCTGACAATTATATAGGGGTATAGTTGTATATAATTATGTTTTATACCTTTTTAGAACATAACTAAAAACACTACCCTTCAATACCAACTTTGAAGTGCCTGTCATGTATAATAAAAAAAGTGAATTAGAATGTCCAAAATATAAAAAATTACACAAATAACCAAGAAAAATACATTTTCAGTTAGACCTACCTTCCAAGGTCTCAAACATTCATTGAGTACCATGTGCTGACCACTATGCTACATGCTTTACATGTATCCACACTGTGTTTGTACGAGGCGCTATTATCAGTATTCACATTTGATAGATTAAAATATTGCAACTGGAAATGCAGCTTAGGTCTAACTCCAGGGACTGAGCTCTGAATCATCATGCCGTGCTTCCTTCCTTATACAAAATAACAGCAATAATAATATGAAAGACAGCTTACAATTAAGAAAATATTTTGTGTGATAGTAATAACTTTGATACACTGATCTAGCAGCTATCCAGAAAGTACTCTCTGCCTCACCCTGTTTTAAACAAAAGTATAGGGTGCAGTGTGTATTTCTGTATTGTGTTTTTCAAACAGGGTTGGTTTAAGACTTCCTTCATGGTTCTTAATACTGTGTAATAGACCTGCTGTTAATGAGTGGTATTTCCTGAGGCCTTCGCTAATCCCTAGTGTTAACATAGGGTTGTAAGTCCCCTCATAAAATGCAATTAAATACGACTAACTGGAAATTCTGTTCACAGCGAGGCACAGAGAACAACAAAGCTGATTCGTCACCTGGATTCCTTACTAACAGCATGACTTGCTTCATCCTCACACCCTATGTGACACAAAGCTTAGTTTAGGAAAATGTCTACATGTGCTGGATTAATAATAACTCCATTAATTCTAAGGGCCTACTATACCGAGTATCTCACCTTAAACATGATTACTGATATAAAATATGCTGAAGAGCAATTAAGAATATTAGACCCTTGAGTGACATTGCCAAGTAATCCAAAAAGCAAACCCCATTCACTGGATGTTAACTGGAAGGCTGGCCATCACTGCATACTACCCTCATGGTTGTTTTACTAATTTCGTAATGCTTAAGGAAACATATATTTAATCTGTTGCATCTTAGAGAAGCAGGAGTAATATTCAAAAGAGTGAGATGTAAATTCAACGATGAAAGGTTTGTTCAGATTTTCTCATGTGCTATTCCTATTTCTTTAAAGCATGAGACCCAATATTTTCCTGGGCGTCAGTGAAGGGTCTGCTCAGTATAAGAAATGGTACTATGAATTGATGGTGGACCACACGGAGCCTTTTGTGACAGCTGAAGCGACTCACCTACGAGTGGGCTGGGCTTCCACGGAAGGGTATTCTCCCTACCCTGGAGGGGGTGAAGAGTGGGGTGGAAATGGTGTTGGAGACGACCTCTTTTCCTATGGATTTGATGGCCTTCATCTCTGGTCGGGTAAGTACTATCCATTTTCTTTCACAACATTTTTGAAGGAAATCTTTTGCCCTTCCTGTACATTTCCTGAAAGCTATTGGTGCTGCTTATATTAGATACATTTATTATTCAGAAATTTAAGATTGAAATGATGAGTGAGAGTGTTAATTAAAATGCAGATGGGCCGGCCCTGTGGCTTGGTGGTTAAGTGCGCGCGCTGCAATGCTGGTGGCCCGGGTTCGGATCCCGGGTGCGCATCGAGGCACCACTTCTCCGTCCATCCTGAGGCCGAGTCCCACATACAGCAACTGGAAGGATGTGCAGCTATGACATGCAGCTATCTGCTGGGGCTTTGGGGGGAAAAAATAAAATAAATAAAATCTTTAAAATGCAGAATTTCACTAGAGGAAAAAGAAAACTCTTAGAATTTTAGTACGTCTCCAAAGGACTATATTGCTTGTGAATAATATATTTAAAAAGTGGCTTCCGATGCATGAATCAACGGCAAAAAACTTGTTTTTCCTACTTAATTTTAATTAGTATACGCAAAGCTGTAGCCTCCAATATAAAAAGAACCAAAACAAACCCTGGAAAATAATTGAAAGAAGTAACTAAAAGTTCCACCTCCTGGTAGATGGAGTAACATCAGGAATAGGGAATTTGTGTATTGTCAGGAGTCAGTTCATAATCAAATGATACTTTGTTTCAGAAATGTGGAACTGCATAAAAATAAATGTATAGTTCATATTAAGAGCCACCAACTCTCAGCTTTGATGGTTGAGTATATATTAAAAATTAGTAATATATATTAAAAATACTCTTTTATCTGACTTATGAAAGAGTGTGTTTTGGTTGGCTCTGTTTAAAAGTTTAGCTCTTGATTCTGTAGATATTGGAAGTCGTCTGGATTTGCTTGTGTTCTGCAGACATATGCTTGTGTTCATAAAGCTGCATGTAGAATATAGTTCTCATATGACCTTGACATATTTTTTAATGCATTTAGTGTATGCAAAATACAGAAAAGTACCTTACGTTATAAAAAGCTGAACTTTGCCTTTTATGGGGTTCGAGTGATTTTCGTTTATTAATACTTAATAGGGCTTATAGCTTATGAAAAAAATTTTTAATTAAATTGAATTAAACCTAAGAGTTTACGGTAATGAGTTTATAAATAAAAGCACTGTATGTAGTGGTATCTAACAATAATGCTTACTGAATTTTTCCTTTTTTCAGTGCCACTAGCTCAGTAGTCTGGAGGAGATGAAGCTGTATTTTGGGTATTTCATCTAACCCATGGGGCATGTGGTTGGGATTGCGTTAGTAGTGTGGCGTTGGCGTGTCTTATACACAGGTGTACTGTGCTGGTCAGACTACAGTCACAATGCCTGCTCCCCTAGTAAAATTTTCCTACTGACCAAACAGAGGCAAAGAGCAGTAACTTCAGAAGATCTAACAAACATAAAATGGGGTGAACGTCTATTTTAGAATACATTTTAACTATCACCCTTCAGATATTATCCTCTCTCTTTACCTCCTAGTATCACACCACACGAAATGGGTACTTCAGGTGAATGAATGAAACATATTAAGATTAGGGGGGAAGAAACATTACTCATATAAAACAATGCTGAATTGCTTCTAATTATTTTAGCTATATAGCACCTCTTCACTATTTTTAATTTTACATTTAGCTTAAAGCTTTTTCTTTCAACACATAGAAAGAACCCAGTGCTTATGGAATTGAACTGTGTGCATTTTGCCTTTCATTACAAAGTATCTGTTAAATAGAACAGTAAGAAAAACAACAATAAAAAATTCAGTGAATGTGAATATATCATAGTAAGGACAGTAGGTTGTGGAATTTCAGGAGAAAATAATCTTGAAACTTTATGTTGAGAAAATATTTGACTATTTTTGTAAATGGCAAGAAAATATGTACCATATGATGCCTATAGTTGAAAGATGTGTTCTCTTAACCCACTGGGATCTATTAAAAGCTTTGCTAATTTTGGATTCATAGTCAACAAAGACAAATCTAAATTAATTGGCTTCTGACTGACTTACCAATGTCAAATTCATAGTAATTCAGATAATCTTCTTAGGGTCACTCTCCTATTCTTTTTCTTTTTAATAGTTGAAGTCAAATTTAAAGTATCAAGTGTCTTTGATTTCTGGGATACAGCACATTCTTTACCACTTAAGTTTTTGTAATTGGAGAGTGGAGATGTTCCTTGGAACCAGAATTTGGCCATCAGCAAAAGTTTTGAAGCTGTAGTGAATAATATATTTAAAAAGTGGCTTCCGATGCATGAATCAACGGCAAAAAACTTGTTTTTCCTACTTAATTTTAATTAGTATACGCAAAGCTGTAGCCTCCAATATAAAAAGAACCAAAACAAACCCTGGAAAATAATTGAAAGAAGTAACTAAAAGTTCCACCTCCTGGTAGATGGAGTAACATCAGGAATAGGGAATTGTGTGTATTTTATTTTTTATTTTTTGAGCTATGTCTTCATTTATTCTTTCCAATTTAAACTTTGCACAGTGATGCTACATTCCCCCTTCTGTGAATGCAGAATGGGCTTTGGGGCATCCAAACATCCAAGTGTTTGTAAGTACCAAAAGTGTGAAAAATCTTGGTGCTTTGGAGAATTTAAATATAGAAGTATGGAGGAATGTCATAGAACAGTGCAGGAATGATAGGTACAGACTTATAATCCAGGACCTATAAATCAGACTGCTGCTATCTTCTTTTGTGGCTAATGCAGAGAAGAGGAATATAGTTCTTCTATGGATTTGCTATGAGTTCGTACAAAAGCAACCTGAAAATGCTTCTAAGTGGATTCACCAATGTGAGTGCCTTAGGTTATCCTGTAGACCTGTGGATACTGTGATCACTGTATTCACTAGTGATCTTATGTATCTTACCTGTTTGTTTCAGGCACTGCAAAACAGTGTTCCACTGTGACTTTTAGATAGTCATTAGCATAATAATATCCTTCAGACTGAGCAATACGTTTGGATTATGGCAAATATTTGTGTAATAACATTTTTATTAGCCACAGATCTTGATACAAACAAGGATATAGACCTTTTTCTGTGAGCTACATTGCTTTTATATGATTTTTTTTTAAACTGCCTTTATTATATTCAGAGAACTCTACAAGAACCACTTGACAGTGAATTTTTTGCTTGCAGATTTGAATGTTGGTAAAATAACAAATGTACACATTTTTAAAAAGTAGTTATGCTCTACTATTGGCATTTCAAATATACTGTCGGTAAAAATCTTGGCATGTTAGGAAAAAAAGGTGTTATAAAAAAAGCAAAGCTTATATCATAGTCTATTTTTGTCTTTGCTCAAATTGAGGAATTCTGTGTGTTTGTGCTTGTGAGCATGTGTGTTTGGGAGAATCTTACCTTCTTGTCTTCCAGTGCACCCGTGGGAATTCTGATATAGTCAAGAAAGGGCTTAGACCATAGGTTGGCCAGGACAAGAAATGACATTTATCAAGTATCATTTTCATGCCTCAGATTGTATCCTGCTGTACTTAAGAAGCCAACCAACCAAGATCTTGTATGAAATACATTGTAAAACAACAACAAACCAATTGGCATATATTTGTCTCTCAATAAACAATGCATGAATGAATGATCACATTTTCTGTTTTCCTTATCCTTATGTATTTTTATTTTATCAAACAAAGAGGACTTAATATTTGAAAAAGGAACTGACATTAAACGCCTGCTGTGTCTGAGACTATGTGTTCTTGTAAACCATTAATTTAACCATCACAACAACTCTACAAGGTGATGGCATTTGGTTTGCAAGAAATCAAGGTTTTGAGAGGTTAAGTAATTTGCTGATGGTCATACAAATTGTAGGTGGTAAAGTAGCTATTTGAACTTAAATGTTCCCTGGAGATTTTCCTCTGACATCATTATATTATCAGCTCTAAGATGATTCCTGCATCAAATGCCATCCATCTACATGCAGAAATTTCTACATATCAGAAGGTCCATTTTACAACAAAGATAGCATGGCTCTTGAAAAAAGCGACATTTATTTGACAAAGGATTTAACATATAACATTAATATGCATACAAGCTTTATTCTATTCTACCATTGTGCATTGATTTGTGGCTAGCTATTCCAATCTTTGCCTTTGGATCTGAAGATGATTCTCTCTGAGATAAAAGTACATTACCTTCCTTAATGTTTTTCTCCCATAGGTTGTATTGCTCGTACTGTAAGCTCACCAAACCAACATCTGTTGAGAACTGATGATGTCATCAGTTGCTGTTTAGATCTAAGTGCCCCAAGCATCTCATTCCGAATTAACGGACAACCTGTGCAAGGAATGTTTGAGAATTTCAACATTGATGGCCTCTTCTTTCCAGTTGTTAGTTTCTCTGCAGGAATAAAGTTAGTATTTCTATGTTTTTTTGGTCTGTTTCCCTTCTCACTTCTCCTACTTTCACAGAAGACTCTGCACTACCATCACTCCTACTTCACTAACATTCTCTCTCACTCTTGGGCATCTGTCCACAGGACATTTGCCTGCTCCTTGTAGGAAAAGGTAAGATTTACCCAAGAGGGGAACCTTGGGAGGCTTGATGCTTTGTCCACATCTTCTGCCATTTAGATGTGGGCAGTCTACTAACGCACACTCAGACCAGTGTCTGGAAATTTTTCAAGTCCATTTAAGTTCACTTTTTTATTTAATAGGGGAAAATGAACAACATTGGGTAAAAAATACCGCTTATTTTCTTATCTTTATTTTCATTATTTTTCCTTTTCTTTTTATCATATTCTCTCGCCCTACTCCAAACCCCCTCATTTCTACAGAAACTAAATTTTTTTTGTTCGTCGGGTCAAGATGGCTCCTCTCCGTGTTACCCTCTACTGTTACACTTGTAAATTATCTGCTTGTGATCAACTGGATCAAGATGGTTTCCTCTAACCCTTTGCTTTTTTGCTACTACCAGATGGAAAAAGAAATTAAAATGCTAATTCTTTGGAATTCTACAAAGAGAACTTTAATAAACAATGGTCTGTTGTGATAAGGGGCCTTGCTCTCATCTATTAAGATATGTATGTACCTACTTAACGAGAGTGGCTCCCTTGTAACCACTGACCTTCCATTTATTCTGGTTATTCTTTTCATTATAATTCTATTCACACGAATAATTCATAGTTACAAAAGTACCATATTGAAGAAGGGACAGTGTAATCATGAAATATTAGCCTCAAGGACCTTTTATGCTGTATTTATACAAATTATATTTCTTTCTATAAACTTCTAGAATATGTCAAAGTTTTTCTTTTTCCTCACTTTTTGTTCTTTGCTTTTTATTTTATTTATATTTTTTGGCCTGGAATGGAAACACAAATTGGAAAAAGAATTACGAGGAAAATGAAAATCTGAATTTATTTTTGTGAGCTGAGAGCCCCAAGAAATCAGTATCATTTAGCTATATTTCAAAAAGGTTGTTCAATGGAACTCAGATTAAATTATTTTTTAATTGAGTATGATGTATAAAAGATTTCAGTAAGGTTTTTTCGTTGTTGTTGAATAAGAAATAAAGTTACTTTTTTTCTTCAGCAAATGGATGGATCATTTGACTCCCCTTTAAGGAATTTCACTGGGAAATTGGACACTGGAAAGTGACTGTTTTTTAATCATACCTTGTCCGGCCCTGTAATTTTAAGTATATAGATATTTAGATCATGTCTGCTCTTTCTCTGTTCATTACTTGGGCACCTTGAGATATTAAATGACCAATTACTACGGACAGATATTTCCCTCACATAGGAATATGATGCATGTGCTTTTGTTATTTCTCTAGTGAGTGGTAAGTTTTTGCTGATCCATTAATATAATTTAATCGGGTTTTATCTCTTATGATTAGAGGCTCTTTGACTCTAAGGCGCCAACTTAAGGAAAAAAATATAGCTTCTGATAAAGTTAATTTTGTACTAGTAATTCATTCATTTGTTGATTAGGAAACTTAGGTACGTCAGAGATATTACTGACCCTGACATGCATCCTTTTCAGGGTACGCTTTCTGCTTGGGGGGAGACATGGAGAATTTAAATTTCTTCCTCCACCTGGGTATGCTCCTTGTTATGAAGCTGTTCTGCCAAAAGAAAAGTTGAAAGTGGAACACAGCCGAGAGTACAAGCAAGAAAGAACGTACACACGGGACCTCCTGGGCCCCACAGTTTCCCTGACACAAGCCGCCTTCACACCGATCCCTGTGGACACCAGCCAGGTACCCAGACTAGCTCTAATGGCAGCCGTTGGTATTGGAGTCGTGCTGATGTGCAGGGGCTTTCAAACTCGTTTGTCTGCAGCTCACAGGAATGCATTTTACAATGTATATGTATATAATTGAGACAAGTTTTATAAAATAATGCTCACCTTTACCATGCCACTCACCTATTTTCTATTCTATTCTATTTTTTTTTTTAAGGGTGGTCCCAAGCCACTAAATTGATTTTATAATGCACTAATAGGTCACAACCTGAGGTAATGCATACTAATTTTAGAGGGTACTTTTTACGTAAGATAGAAGTGGAGTTTTTAATTTCTTCTCCTATCTAGATACACTTATTATTTTGAAGTGATTTAACTGGCCTTTATCTTGGGTAGAAATTGAGATTGTGGGCTCTAGAGTCAAAATGCCTGGTATCAGATGCCTACTCTGGGACCTTGAGGAAGTTACTCATCTTGTTGATTGGGATGCTAAGAGTCTGTTTGGCGTAGTTAATATATAACGCGTTAGCACAATACTTTGCAAATAGACACCCAAGAAGTGGGAGCCATTATTCTTGCTTTTCTGTTTATAGATGTGAAAGTGTCCTAGCATTGACAATTAATTAAATATTGCTTTATTTGGTGGTGAAGTAACTTCAGTAAGGTTGGTCAGATATTCAAAGTTTGTTTATTAGTTTTGAAGATCAAAGGCATTGCTTCTAAATTCTGAGGTAGCGTTAATACCAGGCCTCAGAAGCTTCAGTTGTTTAGCAACCACTTGTTTAGCTCTTTGAATCATTTTCTTGTCTTTCCTTGCTGGCTTTTGATATTATGTAGTAAAATAAACAAACAAGCTTTTCTCATGGCCAAAATTCAGTTTTATATTGCCTGTTGCTGGAATGTGGCAGGATATATATATATTGCTACCCAAGTTAATAGTAAACAGGATTGGGAGGATTGAAGTGGACTGAAATGGAGAATGCAATTATGCAATGGTAACATGTTTAGGGTTTCTGGAGACCTAGATAACCTCTGCTGTTTTGGAGGAGGAGGCGGTGATAGCCTGCTCCCTGTGAAAGCTCTGCCTCATCAGTGGAGGTCATGGGTGGTTGCCTGCTCTATATGTTGAGGGACTAGAGGTGGGGTGAGACATAAGTGCATCACCAGGCATAAACAACCAACCCCTCACCTTGAAAAACATTCTGTGCTCTTTATGAAAAGGTCACTAAACTTCCCCTTTTTAGTGGGAACATGTAAAGATCTTTTCCCTTGAGGCTTATATTTGGACACTACTAGAAGTAATAGGGCAGAGTTGAGGGAAAACATAAGTCGCTGCCATCAGCTATTGATAGGCTCAAAGAGCCGATGGACCATCCTTTGGGCACTGATTGCCTTCATTCTCACCTGTGGATGTTGGTCAGCGTGGTTTAACAACTTTGGGGTGATTTCTCTTTTTAAGTAATGCCTGCTCTGGTGGTTATCCTACATCAAGACATCTTTCTTAATAGTTGTTGTTCCCCTCAACACTCTATTTTCTTTCTTCATAACTTTTATTCATAAATTCACTTGGAAACATAAGCTATCCAAAAAAAAAGGCCCCCAAACTTACGTAAAGAATGTTTAGATACCTAGTCATATTTTTATAAGTAGGTCGTACTAGAGGGTTTAGAACCTAGTTATGTTATTGCATTTTAATGGTTCATGAGATAATTTTATTTAGTTCAATTCACAGTGAGGACAATTAGCACAGAGTTTTATTGCATTTGTTTCTAATGTGTGTTTTTTCCTTTTTTAAATTTTAGATCGTGTTGCCTCCTCACCTGGAGAGGATAAGAGAAAAACTGGCAGAGAATATCCATGAACTCTGGGTTATGAATAAAATTGAACTTGGCTGGCAGTATGGTCCGGTACATAACTTTGAAATTTATTTTCAGATTCTGTCAATACATGTTTCTGAAAACATAACTTTTTCTCACTCATCCTGCTATGTGGTGACATGAATCGATTACATTGATTTTTTTCCCCTACACATTAGTTTTTGTGCAGTTCTTTGCCAGAGGGAATGACAGTATTGGCAGGTTCATTGAAGGATAGCTTAGATGCCTGGACAGTGGAAAAGTTATCAATATTTAGGCTGAAAGTTATATTTTTAAATCAATATTAACATATACAGACAATAGGCATTGATTTCTAAGCCACCTAGAAAAAAATCTCATTGAAATTGAAAGTGAAAACTGAAAATGGAAAGAAAGAGGTGAATTTACTTCCGCCACCGCCAGTGCTTCACTTCTCTTAGTCCCAATTGTACGTAGCAGTACAAGTCTTGTGAGCAAAGGTTCACAGTTGGTCTCACAAGTAGAAGACAGCCTGAGAAATAATAATTGAATATGTTTCCGAAGAATTATTTTTTAAAGATGTTACTTTATAGTTTGTCAATAAAATTTAGATTAAAAAAACCCGAAACAACTCCCTATGTAATCCCAGTGTATAGTATACCTGTTTTTAGCAGGACTGTGGCAATACTTTCACTTTCATAATATTATTAGTTGATATCCCAAAGATTGTAATACTTTCTTATATTTGACTGACTATAGAAATGAGTGTATTCACCCCGGTCATAGTCTCTTGCACTGAGCTTGGAATAAAGAACATTTATTATTAGTGTCAGCGGTGATACCATTGAGCTCTGTGTGTCTCCAGGGTAGAGATTAAGCACGTGGTCTGTTGCTATAGTGCTAGCATCTGGCACCTTTCCTGGTTCAGGGAATGTACTCAAATATCTGCTGATGGAATGAAACAGTTGTGTTCTCAGGACCCGTTCTGGGCTAGCAGAGCTCCAGGTATCATATCAGAAGGCCAGCAACTGGGGAGAGTCTCAAATGGACCCGTGAAGAGATTTCACATCGCTCGTTCATCTGATAATTGACCTTGTGTCCCACTTCTTTTACAAGGGCTTCCCTAAAACTCCTTTTGTTACCTGGAGGGCTGGCTGGATTTTCCAGGTTCTTGTTCAGCATCGCAAAGGAATTTGTGAGTGAACACAAGCAAGAAAGTTTTTTAGCAGGAGTTGATTAGCAAAGCAAAAGTATACTCCGAGAGAGGGAGTGGGCAGGCTCAAGGTGAGCGACCGCCCTGAGGTCTGAGTAAATTTCAGGGCATATTGGTGGTGCAGGGGTATAGGAGGGGATTGAAGGGGGTCTGTCCAATTGGCTTGTTGCCTCCTTCCTCACATCGGGCGGGGGAGTTTATTTCCTTGGTTGGTCCCTATCGGAACTGTCATGGTATCCATCCCCCACAAGGGGAGTCAAAACTGCAATGTAAATTTATTATAATTTTAGTACACGGAGGGTAAGGTCAGGGCAGGGCATTTGGGGGCTCTTTGTGCACATGTTCTGCCACCAGAGATTTTTAGTTTTTCACGGCTAGGATAGGTGTCAGGATTTGTAGGTTTCTCTGGCTCATAACTAGCTACCAGTCTGGCAACAAAATAAGACGTTGTGGGTGTTAGGTGTTAGGTGACCCTCCGAGGAGACTTCTTTTATTTGAATTGTCAGCTTTTATCCCTTCCCCTGCTCATGTCTGACTTACTCCCTATCTACAACACTTTCAGATAAGTAGTGATGATACCTGACTTACGCTCTCTCGTTCTAGACTTGTCTGTCTCTGTTATCAGGTGAAGTCCATAGATTCTTTAACATTTTAAATGAAGTATTCAAATATATTCGACTTTGGAGTAAACTGCCCAGTATGTTGAATAAGTTGAGTTTTTTGTTTATTTTTGTTTTTTGCAAAGAACTTATAGTTTCTTTGAACGTCTTTTGGATATATTTCACAGGAGCATCATGCAAGAGCTCTATTTTATGGAATAACATCAGGCAGATCCATTCAGGCATTCACCTGTCCTTTAACATTTAGTATTTGCCTGGCCTTGTACTTGGTACTGGGGTCCCAAAAAGACCTTGAAAAGACCTTGACTTTTAGTCAGTTTGCCTTTTAGGAGCTTCCAGTTTAGCTGATTGATAGACATGCAAACAATTACAAGCTAAGTACTATGACAGAGGTGCCAGCAGAGTGAAGGAGGCATAATTAGGTCTCTCTTGGGAAGTCAGGGAAAGCTTCCAGGAGAAGGTAAATATTCGATCTGAGGCCTGAAGGGCAAGTTACAAGTTGACTAGCAATCAGGGAGCAGGAGAGTATTCTAGGCAGGGGACCTGGCATGTGTAAATGCATGGAGGTGGAAGGAGCAGGGCGTTTGCAATGATCTTTCAGTAGCTCAGCATTGTCACAGTTTAAAGAACAAGGTGCTAGTGGTGCAGACGAGTAGAGGTGGGAAGTCTGGCCAGGTGAACAGGAAGCATGTCACAAAGGGCTTTTGGCAGAATATGATTTTATTCTGTACAGGGGTAAAGGGCATTGAAGAATGCTTAGGAGGGAGGGGGCATGCTTCAGTCTGTGCATTGGAACGGAGCTCTACTCTTAGTGTGGATGAGCAGTGAGCCTGGAGGCAGGAAGAAGGTCAGGGAGAAGACGCAGGTGACCCAGGTGAGAGGTGGTGAGTTTCACAACTGTGGGCCTGGCAGTAGGATGGAGAGACGTGAATGCTGGAGATGTTTTGGAATTAAAGTACGGGCTGTGGGTAAGAGAGGGAAGGAAATCAGGGAAGATTTCTGGTTTTAGCTCTGACCCCCAAGGAGATGGAGGAGTCAGTTATTCTCTGGCGTAGAGAATAGAGGGGAAGCGGAAATTACATAAATGGAGAGTAGATTTCTTTAGGACTTGGACACGTTCATTTTTACTTTTATGTTTAGAAGTCAGAGTTAAATTTTGTAACTCTAGATTTCATTTACAGGGTTGTACATTTAGATAAGTATATTTAAATATATGCTTTAGTATAAGTCCTGTTCATTTGTAATGATCGTCAGAAAGAAAAGAATAAATATCTTACTTTTAACTTGGTGACTCCTGAAGACTTAAAAAAAATTTTTTTGCCTGTGTTTGCATACTTTTTATGTGGCATTTATAAAAACCTGGTAATTATTCCCATGGAGTAATTTGTCCCCTGACAGCATATGGCTGTCATCTAGGTGCCACCATGGCAGTAATGCCTATGTAATTTACGTCTCTAAGAAGATAAAAAACCTAATTACTAATGCAAGGATATAGAACACCTTTCTTGTTAATTCATTCCTAAAATCTTGAATTTAGTTTAGTCTGATTGCTAATACACACTTTCAAGGATTAATATGAAAAACGCCTATATTATGTGAACCCATTTTGTTAAGGTAGAAGAGTGATTTGTGAGAGCAGGAAGTAACTTACAGTGGGTGACATGAATGGCTGGAACCACCTCAAAGAGTTTACGTCAGGCAGTCAAGTTAATCGATGTCTCTAATCCATTTGGCTCTAAACACATAAAAATTACCACACATTGAAACTAAGTCGTTGCTACGCCATTCTTACATAGAATTCATTTCACTTTACAAAACCTGTGTTGAGTTCCTAGCACAGGCCAGGCATATTCTAGGTGCTGGGAAGACATCAAAGAACAAAAGAGACCAAGTCTGTTCCTTTGGTCTTACATTCGAGTGCAGTGAGACAGACAATAACAAAATGAGGCTCTAGTCTGTTAGCTAGACTGTTACAGAAAAAAAAAAAAAGAAAAGAATAGTCTGGGTGGGGAGATTGCTGTGCTGGGAACGTAGGCAGGATAAACCTTATTGAGAAAGTAAGATTTAAGCAAATGCTGGAAGTTGCAGAGGGAGCGAGCATGTGAGTTTAGGGTAGAGCAGGCATGGAAGCCAGGGTCAGGAACTGTGCCAAACAGATGAGAACAGAGTCTCCGATAATGCCAACTTTTCCTACTGACCTCAAACCTTAACCATGCCTGGGAGATTACACAGGCAGCTTTGCTGGGGTGATGATGGGGGTTTTCCTTCTTGCTTTTCCCCTTCACTTTCCACGGCACAACTGGATTACCATTGCTGGTGTCTGACACTGGAGACTGTTATATGCTGATTTCCTGTCCTGTTTCAGGTTAGAGATGACAATAAGAGACAACACCCGTGTCTGGTGGAGTTCTCCAAGCTGCCTGAGCAGGAACGGAATTACAACTTACAGATGTCGCTTGAGACCCTGAAGTGAGTTTCTTAACTTTTCCTGTTTTCCCATCTGCCTTTCCTGAAAGAAGCAAAGTACTGATATACTCCGATTCAGCTGTGATTTTAATTCCAGTTAGAACTTTTCATAATGCACAGGAAGATTGAATTAATATTTGTTGGGAATTAGACTTTGACCGTGTTATTTTCTATCTTTATATAAGTGTTTCCCAAGGAGTCTTCTACAGATGTTCATGGGTATTATAGAATACGCGGGTTCTGTGATCCAATACAGTGCTACTCACTGCGGGCTGTGGGCCATGGACCAGGTCAGTCACAAATTGCTACTAATTTGTGACAAGATAAGATATTAAGAACAAGTGCTTAGAAACTTTTATACCAATTTAAGAGAACAACGTTATGTCTATTGAATCTAAATTTATAAAATGTAGGCTTGTATTTTATATGTCATTTTGAAAATTTAATTTCCTCTAACAATTTTTATTGTATTTTATCAGAGAATCAAAACACGATGGACTAGAAATTAAAAGAAAACTGGTCCTTCACCACAGAGATTTTGAGAAGCACTGATCTAATATATTTAAGAGATGCCGAGTTACAGTAATCAAATAAGTTTTTGTTTTTGTTGATGAACTTTTCAGTACTGTGAATCTCTAAAATGGGATGGAATCCATTTATGATAGTTCCCAAACTTATTTAACCATAGGATCCTTTGTTTCAGAGAGTATCTCGGGACCGTTTGTCTGAGGAACACACTTTGAGAAAAGCCACTGTACAGTATTTGTACGTCATCTTGTAAAGGCAGATTTGCTCTTCAGTGGCTGTGCCAACTATTCTCATGAAATTTGCCACTTACCATTGCAGGTGAAAGAATGAGGTGGTATAAAGTAAAGTAAGGGAAATAATTTCAAATTTTAATATAGAAAAGTTCATGGGGCCAGCCCTGTTGTGTAGCAGTTGGGTGCGCGCGCTCCACTGCTGGCGACCCGGGTTCAGATCCCGGGCGCGCACCAATGCACCGCTTGTCAGGCCATGCTATGGCAGCGTCCCACACAAAGTGGAGGAAGATCAGCACAGATGTTAGCTCAGGGCCAGTCTTCCTCAGGAAAAAGAGGAGGATTGGCCTGGATGTTAGCTCAGGGCTGATCTTCCTCATAAAAAAAAAAAGTTCAGAAAATATTTTTGAAAAGACTGTAACTTTTCTTTTGTTCTTTTTCCATCCTTGATGGCCTATAGAACTGGATTTGTTCAAATAGGTCACTCATCCTAATACATATATTAAGTATGAAACAATAATTTTGCCCTTTTTGTTTCTGTTTTGTTAAGAGTAACGAGTTATTTCCATTGAAGCTCTTTTACCCAGGACCCAGAATATAAACTTAAACACTGTTTCAAATTCTAGGATTTGGGTTCAGGTATATTTCGTCAAAGATATGATAGTAATTATCATTATAGAAATAAATAAGTTGGGCATGGAATGAGTTTAGGTTCTACTAGTAACTTAAAAGGAAAAAGAGTATATACAAATCAAGTAAATTGAGACTCTCCTAAAGGTAAAAAATGATAAAGCTTGCCTGGAATAAGGAACGCACACTGCGTCACCATGAGCTGTGTACCTCGGATCCAGCTTCTCCTGTCTTCCTTTGTGGTCCTGATGTGAGGCTTACACATTGCTAAGAGTTTAGCTTAGCAATTCACAGCAGCTCATCATTTGCCCATCTTTTACAACAAAATATTTTATTGAAGGGTCATGGTCTAAGATAATTTAGTTAAATTTGCAGTACATTCCCCATAATTTTAGAGACTGACAGCTAAGCCAGCTATTGCAAAGAGCAAATCCTGGCAAGCGCTGAAGTGTAGAAATCTCCGTATTTGCTTTCAGTATGTTGAGCCTTTGACTGCTGCGTGTAATCTCCTCTCATTCCCAACGTCTCACTCCTAACAGCGGCTGGCGGCTGGTTTGATTGATCATCAGACGCCTGTCCCATGGTGCTGTTGCCTATGGTGAATGATAACAACCCTTTCCATGTGCTAATTCTTAATATTTTATGGTTTTATGATGAACTGATTGCACCTATTTCTTTAAAATTTAAATTAGGGCAAAAAGAGCCCCTACTTCTCCAAAAGTCGCACTATGCCCAATTCCAGTCGTTTAGAGAAGGCACAGCCCTTTCTTTCTGTATTTCCTTTATTCACTTGTCTAGTTGGCAGACTCCAGGGCAGAGCAGGTGAGCACACAGGCTCTGGAGATGGATGGTCTGGATTCAAGGACTTGCTTCCTCCTCCAAAAGGAATCTTAGATTTTTTGAAACTTAGATTTTCTTCCATCAGTAAAATGGGGATCATGGTGCCTCTACTTCATGGAATTGTTGTGGAAACTAAATGATATAATATTGAGAAAGCCTTTAGCACTACATGTCTGAGAGCCGAAGCACTCTATAAAAGTTAAGTTTAAAAAAATATATATATATATATATCATGTAAGAGATGAACAACTTTAGTCAGTTAAGTCCTGAGGAGTGTCAAATAACAAATAAGCAAAAGATTGTTTCAGAATATCCCTTATTTTGGGTAAAGGGGTGATGTAATGTGAGTGTGAATTTTTGATACTCTTTCTGTGATTTTTTTTGTCATGCAGATTGTTCACAAAGACAACTTACTTTGAATTTGAATGGTCATCTGTATATTGTACAGACTCAAAATTCTGACACCATCTGTCATAACAGCACAGCTTGTGACAGCATGCCTGTCAGCTGTCCTCCCAATTTAATCGGTGTTACTAAAGTTTTAGTTTTTGAGTTAGTTTTCAGTCCATACAATATTTTCCCAATTCCAGATCTTAATTTTTGAATAAATGACTTGTGTTTAGGAAATGAATGTTAAAATCATTTTTAATCAACACATAATGTACTTTCGTAGAATCTCTCTTTGGAAGTTAACAAAAATATAGTGAGACAACAACAATATTTTTCTTCTGGTCAAGTAGTTTTTTCCTTAAAATTATTTTTAGGAAATGTGATGTGTTTATATACATATGTGGGGGAGGGGTGGGGAGGGATAGGGACACGGGACAGTGAAGAGAGCAATACGGAAGGGAGAAAAATGACTGTTCAGGGGAGAGGCACGATTTTTGTCTGAAAGTGCAGGTTTTTCTCCTGTCTCTGTACCTTCTTTTTTTCGGTCTCTTGCTGGCAACAATTTTCCCAATCTCTAAATGTTATGATTCCTTATGTTCAATCTTGGGCCCTTTCTTCTCACTGTGCGAACTCTTGGGAGGTATTCTCATCACACTCGTAACTTAAATACCACACAGGTGCTTACAACTCCGCAAACGTACATCATCTCTCCCCTAGACATCTGCTCTGAGAAACGGACATGTGTATCCCATTCCTCAGCTGACATTTTCCCTGGATGCATCTGAGGCACCTTGACCTACCGCCTTACGTCCCCTCTGAATGATACCCTCATTCATCCTGCTGCTCAGGCCAGAAATCTGGGAATCATCCTTGACTCTTCCTTTTGTGTTATCCCTATATCCAGCCCATCACCAAATCCTCCCAAGTATATCTCCAATCTGTCCCCTTCCCCCATTTCCACAGTAGTCATCCTGGTCCAAGCCACCACCATCTGTCACCTTGACTACTTAGTAATCTTGTAACTGGTCCCCCCACTAGCCTTCTTCCAATTCATTCTGTACACAGCAGCCAGAGTTTATGCACCCACACATACACATTCATACACATGTTGCTTAAAACTGTTCCGTGGCTTCCCATTGCACTTAAATAGAATCTAATATTCTCAAGAGTCTGTGGAAGTCCAGGATGATCTGACACCTCCCATTTCTCAGCATGTCTTGCACTACTGCTGCCCTTGTTCACTATCTTCCAGCCCCCATGGTCTCTTCCCTTCAGTGGGTTAAACTATTTACTGCCTCACATATGCTGTTCCCTTGCCTGGAAAGTTCTTTGCCTTACTCTTAGATGGGCTCCCCACTATTCATCCCTCAGGTTTCCACTTAAATGTCACTTCCTCAAAGAGACCGTCCCCATCACTTTCTCCCTCTCTCTCATAACATCTTATAACATTTTTATAGCTCTCACTACAATTTTTAATATTACTTTCTGAGGTCATGTAATATTTGCCTTTCTTATTGCACAGTAAGCTCCATGAAGGCAGACACCATGATTTTTTTTTTCTAATTCACCATCATATACCTAGTTCTAGCACAGTATCCAGCACATAGTATTTACTCTGATTCCAACTTGCTTGGATGTTGCAAATGTGCCTCATACTTTGTGACTTTTTTATCCCCTCCAATCTCAGGCTTTTTTCAGTGTTCTTTCTCTTATAGTGTCAAGTGCCCCCTATAACACAAACCAGATAGCTCAGAGTCATCCTTGACGCTTCTCTTTCCCTCACCCAGGCCTTTCTAATCATCTTTTAACCCATCTACTCCTTTCCTTTCTTCTATCACAATGATGTTATTACCATACCATCACCTCCAACACTCCAGCGCCCTGTACCACCCTAGCTAAACTACCATTATTCCTACCTGAAGCTATAATACCTCCCAACAGATCCGATTGAAATACACTCTAGCTCCTCCCTTAATCCATTCCGCACTTGGTAGCCAGCTGATCTTTTTCGAATATTTAGGTGACCATGTCATTCTCCCTACTTAAATTCTTTATTATTTTTTTTTGTGAGGAAGATCAGCCCTGAGCTAACATCCATGCCAATCCTCCTCTTTTTGCTGAGGAAGACTGGCCCTGGGCTAACATCCGTGCCCATCTTCCTCCACTTTATATGGGACGCTGCCATAGCATGGACTCACAAGCGGTGCATCGGTGCGGGCCCGGGATCCGAACCCAGGCCGCCAGCAGCGGAGCGCATGCATTTAACCGCTAGGCCACGGGGCCGGCCCTTAAATTCTTTTAATGGCTTTCCAGTGCTCTTAAGATCAAGATAGTGTCTTAATTTGCCTAAAGGTCCTACAAGATCAAGCTTCCACTCTGATCAGCGTTGTCATGTGGGAGGCTGCTCTTTTTTTCTTGCTTGCTGTCACTCTAGCCTTTGTTTTGCCCTCCTGTTTGCATATTCCTTTCTACCACAGGGCCTTCTATATGTCCTCTTCCTGGAATGCTGCCCTCCATGCCCTGTTCTCATCCTTTACGTCTCAGGTCACTTCTTCTTAGGGAAACATTTTCTAAGCTCCTTGACTCAATAGGGCCTCCTTCTGTAGGCACTCATCCCTTCTCTATCTCTCAGCGTAGAAACTTCCAGGTATGTGTAATCACTTGATGTCCTCTCTACTCCACCAGACCCTAAGTTTCTTGAGGGCAGGCATCTCACTTAATTTTATTCACCATCTTTCAAACTTTACCTTGAGCTCAGTAAACATGTGTGGAATGAATGAAGGAGTGAATAAATGATAAAGCTCGGTCTCTAACCAGGCATTTGTACACCAGTGCTTGTCTGTCGTCTGTTGGGTGCCTCATGTTGTCTCTGGGGCTTTGTCCCAGACTGTTGACTCTTCTTTTCTATGGCCACATACTTTAAGTACTAAAATGCCACCTTAACCAATTCCTGCTGCTTAATCTAGGAGTCACTGTTTACCGAACGCATGTGCAAGTGACTGTGGAAGAGACAAGAATAAGACCGAGAGCCCACCCTCAGCTAATCCTCTTATACTTCCCTATTCTGTTCTTCTCTTCCATGGCTCAGAACATCTAGCCTCTGCACAGGAGTCTCAGTTCATATTTTGTAGTGTGTTCCTCGTTCCCCACCTTTCCGCAGCCTTTTTAAAATTTTAAACGAGTGCGTTCAACAGTGTTAAATCAAATAAAATGATTTTAATAAAGATAATATAGAGAACAAAGAGCTTTTATTCCAAGAGGTTGGTGTGGTTGATAGCATTACTAAATAGATTTTTAAAATGATCTATTGCCCTCATTTAAGACCTCCTTGGATTAGGCACAGGGTTCTTAGATATAATACCAAAATCATTATCCATAAAAGAAAACAAAATCAATAAATTGGACCTCATCAAAAGTAAAGCTGTTTGCACTACAAAAGAAACCATGAAGAAAATGAAGAGACAAGCCACAGACCAGGGAAAAATATTTATGAATTATGTAAGTTTATATCTGTAGGATTTATAGTCAATCAGAATATATAAAAAACTCTTACAGCTCAATAGTAAGAATAGATACAGCCTAATTAAAAAATGGACAAATCACTTGAGCATATATTTTACCAAAGTAGATATACTTTGGCTAATAAACACATTAAAAGATGCTCAACATCATTACTCGTTAGGAAACTGCAAATTAAACCAAAATGAGATACCACTACACACAGTAGAATGGCTGTAATCAAAAAGATGACATACTAAGTATTGGTGGAGATGTAGAAAAACTGAAACCTACACGTGGTGGGAACGTAAAATGGTCCTCCCATGTTGGAAAACAGTTTGGCAGTTTCTTAAGGCTAAGCATAAATTTACCATACAACCTAGCAATTCTACTCCTACTTTCTGCCTAAGAGAAATGAAAGCATATGTCCATGCAAATACCTGTACATGAATGTTCACAGAAGCATTTTCATAGAAGCATGATACATAATAGCCAAAAACTGGAAACTGTGGAAATGTTCATCAACTAATGAATGGATAAACAAAATGTGATATAGCCACACAACGGGATACTATTCAGCAATAAAAGGAAATAAAATGGATACGCACTACAACATGGACAAGCCTAAAACACATAATGATAAGTCAAAGAAGCCTGACACAAAAGACTCCATGTTGTATGATCTATTTATATGAAAAGTCCAGAAAAAGCAAGTCCATAGGGACAGAAAGCAGATTAGCGGTTGCTTGGGGGTAGGAGTGAGGAATGACTGCAAATAGGCATGAGGGACCTGCGGGGGTGATGGAAATATTCTAAAACTAGATTGTAGTGATGGTCATGCAACTCTATAAATTTACTAAAATAATAATAAATAAACCTTTAAAAAACACATTTCCAAGCTGACGACTTCTTACATTATGCCGTTCTGATAACCTTCTGACTCCACATAAGTGTGATTCCCTCAGCATGGCATTCAAGGCCCTCACTTAATGTATTATTCAGGGTTCTCTATACATGATAATCAGAAGATTTCTTGGTGGGCATGCACTCAAAGGTTTAATTGCCTGAATTTAAGATAAATCCTAATATCATTGTCACCCTCGAGTTCCCTCAGAGCTGGGTTTGGTATCCTCCTTGATAATTGCATAGCCCTATACATATCTCATTGCACACAAGACACTGTATCATAATTAACTATTGTCTTTGGTCCCCACTAGCCTGCAGGCTTACTCCCAGAACTCAGCACAGGGCCTGGCATACATTGGCATTCAACAGATATTTACTGAATGGATAAATGAATGAATGGAGAATGATGGCAAAAACTTCCTGTCCCCTGGACAGTGTTTGAATAAGTATAACCTAGATTTGTTCTGTGAGTCAATTTTCTATTCTTCAATTGCTGACCAATCTCATTTTAATTGGCACATTCTTTATTTAGGTAATTTTATAGCTTCAGTCAGTTCTTGCTCTATCCAGTTTTGCAGTTTAACACTGAAAGGGTAATTTTATGAGGTCATCTTAATTTTGCCATATGTAACCTAAAATTTAACTTGATAGCAGTGTGTGTATGTGTGTATATATATACATACTTGTATGTATATACATACTTGTGTGTGTGTGTGTGTGTATACACACACACACACACACACACACACACATATAATATATCTCCAGATCTTCATTTTTAAAATTTTGTGGAGGATAAGTACAGATGGATTTTAAATCCTTGCTACACCCCCACTGGAGCTGACCAGACCTTAGAAATTCTGTAGTCCAAAAAGGATATGCTATTAGATCTTATTGTACTGAGATGGGAGAAAGCACTCATTGTCATGGGTACTAAAGGCCAGTTGTTCTGTGTAAGCCTGGAGGACTTGAAAGGGTAAGTTCTAAATGTGAATGGTAAGGATGTTTCTTGGGAAAATCAACAAACGGTCATTCAGAGGAGGAAGTAATACAGGATGTCTAAAAAATGGGTAAACAGTTCCTGGCAAATTCGGACCCTGATATGTCATGTGAAAATGAGACTTTTCTAGACTAGAAAGTCCAGAAAAGGATTAAAAAAAATATATAGGAAATTTAATATATGATAAAGATGGCATATCAAATCAGTGGTAAAAGATAGATTATTCAGTAAATATTTTGTGGAGAACTGGGTATCCACCTTGAAATGACATACAAAGTTAAATCCCTACTTTAAGCCATATAGTCTCCCCCGCCCCTAAAAAGCATGGACATTTTCCTTCAAATAACTTTACAAACGGGGAAACTCTAAGTACCACATAAAACCCAGAAGCCATAAAAAAGATGGAAAAGTTCAGCATTATAAAAACAAATTTAAAACTCTGCATAGAAAGAACACCATAAAGAAAGTAAAAAGACAACAAACTACAGAAAAATATTTGCAACTCATATCTCAGACATTTGAAGAGCTTCTAAAATGCAACAACAAAACCCAAATCTAATAGAAAAGTGAACAAAGAATGTTTTCACAGGAAAAAAGTACGTGTATCTCTTCAGCATATGAAAAAGGTGCTCAAATGCACTTATATTAAGAAAAATGCAAATTAAAACTATAATGAGATATCTTTTAACCTGTTAATTGACAAAAGTCAGACAGATAACTTTGTGTTGGAGACGGTATGAGAAGCAGGCAATATCATATGTTGCTGGTGGGAATGTGAATTAATACCAACTCTATAGACATTTGCCAATATTTGTCAAACTCTAAAATGTGTGTACCCTGTGACCCAGTAATTCTGTCTAGGAATTTATCCTACAGATGAAGGATATAGTACATGTATTAAATGTATGAGGTTATTCATTGCACCATTGTTTCTAACAACAAAAGACTGAACAGAGAATCGGGTAAAATTTTGACATCCAACTAATGGAACACTTCAGAGTTGTTGAAAGTAAACCAGCTTTATATGAAGGACAGTATATCAAAGTTAAAGTCAAGATAGAAAATTGCAGAGAACTGTCTCTTGTATATACCCATTGTGTAAAAGAGAAACAAAACAATACACAGACACACACACACCTGTTTTAAAACATGCATAGACTCTAGCAGGACATTCAAGAATTGGTAGCAATCAGTGCCTTTAGGGAAAGAAAGAGGACTAGAGGGACACTTCCTTTTCAATATATTCCTTTTTTGTGCCATTTCAATTTTCAGTGTCTTATTACTCAAAAGAAAATAATTTATAAATAAATGTTTTCCTTTTCCTTTAAAAACAAAAGGCTTCTGCTCTGCTTTCAAAGTGGACTGTTATACCTCATTCCCAACTGCTATTATGTTGGGTTCTTCTGGACATAGGGAAGGAATTGTTGCAGCTGATCTCTGGTTTTGTTTTCCAGGACTTTGTTGGCCTTAGGATGTCATGTGGGTATATCAGATGAACATGCGGAAGAAAAGGTGAAAAAAATGAAGCTACCCAAGAAGTAAGTTGAGTGTCTAAGCAATATCAAGTAGTCTGTGCATTGATTAGTGCACTCAGATAACTCTTGATGGAGACCTAGATGCCTTGCTTATTACACTTAAGCTGTAAAATTCAGATTCAAAATGGAAACTTTCTATGTTACACGAGGGGCTACATCAAGTCTGTGGTGCAACAAGAGTTTCTATCACATTGTCCAGAAAGGAAACAAAGCTCAGAAAATCTTTGGGAGTATGCTATAAAAAGTGTGTTATTTTCCCTGTGTGTGTGTGTGTGTGTGTGTGTGTGTGTGAACACACATGTGCCCATATTCCTAACTGATACGTATGGCTTCCCACTTTCCGGCAAAAAAAACTTATAATTTTACTTGCTTTTAAGAGAAAATATTTTAGGAGTGATTATGAAGTCGGTATCATTATCCCCATTTTAAAATGAGAAACCTGAGGCAATTGATGCGATAGTGGTGAGCTTGCCAGCTGTGCTACCACCTCTGTCTGTGATCCTGTTCAACTTGAAACCTCCGCTTTCTCATGTCTTCACAGGCATTGATAATCTCTGCCTCATAGGGAAGTTTTAGGTTTTAAATGAGTAAGTGCTCAAGAAATGATAGCTATTTCATGTTGTTATTTTTTCTTATTTATTTTAATTTAAGTCTTCAAGCCACTTTTCTGAGGCCCATGCATGATAAATAGCAGGCCTGGAAAGGTGTTAAGTAATATCATGGAGATAAGAACAAAATAGCCACCCTGTAATCTCCATCTGTCACCCCAAGCCTCAGGTTACCCCAGATAAACATAAAATCAAAATAGAAATCGTGTGCTTGCTGTCAAAATGCAAATTCAAGGAAGTCTTCTAGTTCAACACACAGTTTTATTCAGGTGCTCCATTAATTTAAATTAAAAAATTAATAAAAAATGGTATTGTCACCCTACACATTTTTAGGTTCTGAATTTTTTTTAAGTTTAAATAGTTCCAAAGGATGCTATTTTATGGCATATTTCACATATTTACATTTTTAAATGATACTTTTATGTCAATTTTTAGTGTAATAAAAGGAGATCCACAATGATTATATGTGTACAATCATCTATTTAAAAGCTACATATAAGTGTTGTTGATAATAGGGAATTTTATATCATTTTGTTTTTCTCTTTGAATTGTATTTCTAATCCATTTTACATATACAATATTACCCTTTTAAAATATATTTTATTGTTCACTCTATTATTCTTTATAAACAAATGTGTAGCTAAATTGAATTTTTAATTTTTTTTTTCTATAATCATAGTGACTAAGTATTAAGATTTTTCTTCGGAGTTATCATGATAATTACTTTTGGTATAAAAGTGTTCAAAACAACAAATTTTTGATAAAAATCAATATAAAATATAAAATTTTACTGAAAATAGCTCATAATGAAATGGATTCAGCTATTTTTTCAATTATATTGTATATCTGTGTATAAATATTATTTATTGCTATAAAGAGACGAATTGCAGGGTAAGTTGCATATTTTGTTCACATAAATAAATCATTTTATTATTAAAAAAACCATTCAGTTCAGTGAACCAAAACTTCATAGTTGTTCATCATCAAAAAACGTGTTCAATGATCTATCATGTGACAACTAATCATGTCCTTGTTCAGTTTTTTAAAAGCAAAAAATTGGAAACTACCTTACTTGCAAAAGAATTCATTATCTTCTCATTTAAGTCACTCAGTTTTTTGGAAAGTATATCATAAAGGCATTATTAAGACTAAAAACACCACCACCAACAAAACTAGTTATATCTGTTACTCTTTCACTTAGAGATACCTTACTTAACCTGATGTACACAAGGATAAGGAGATGGAAATGTAATTGCAAATTACCTTTGCTAGCATAGTATGTTTAATAAATTATTTTTGTCATGTGCTATATGAGTGTGTATCTCGTCAAAACCTCGGGGCAAAGTAGTCAGCCTGAAAAAGCTACATACTGTATGATTCCAACTATATGACATTCTGGAAAAGGCAACGCTATGGAGACAGGAAAAATGTCATTGGTTGCCAGGGTTTAGGGGGAAGAGAGGGATGAATGCGTGGAGAACAGGATTTTTAGAGCAGTGAAAATACTCTGTGTGACACTATAATGGTGGCTACATGTCACTACACATTTGTCCAAACCCATAGTATGTACAACACCAACACCAAGAGTGAACCCTAATGTAAACTGTGGGCTTTGGATGATAATGATATGTCAATATAGGTTCATCAATTGTAACAAATGTACCACTGTGCTGGGGAATGTTAATAATGGGGGAGGCTGGGTGTGTGGGGTGGGGGGTGGGTGGAGGTCACAGGGTATATGAAATTTCCCTGTACCTTCTTCTTGCTTTTGCTGTGAACCTAAAATTGCTCTAAAAAATTAATCTTAAAAACAAAACAAAACAAAAACCTTTAGTCAGAATTTAGCTTATAATTAAATAAGCTAATTTATGGAATTTATCTACTATAAAACCTAGTTTGTAAAGCCAGTTTTCACTTGTCAAAAAAATCGGTTTAAACAATTATGTTTTGTCAGAAAAAATCTGGCTTTTTATATCTGTTGAAACAAATGGGTTAATATATGTCCTTATGATAACTATCTCAATTCTGATCGCTTAATCTAAGATAGATAGATAGATAGATAGATAGATAGATAGATAGATAGATAGGGCATAGGGTTTGTAATAAGTTAGTCCCATTGAGCAATTAGGGTCTTCTGCCTTCATTATTCTTTTTACTGATGCTTTTTGTTTGTGTTGCTCTCAGTAGCTATGCATTATTTGAGAATAGATGGGGAAATGGAAAAGGTGAGGTCATTAAATGAAAAGTGTACTCACACCTGCTGACAGTCTATACTATATCAAAATTTGCCATGAGATACCATTTTATTCTTACTCTATTGGCAAAAATTAAGGAATTTGATAATAATAAGTATTGATATGGGTGCAGATCATCCCAAGCTTAAAAGGTTGGAGTGTTTTTACAACCATTTTTAAAGTAGTTTGGCATCATTGTGTAAAATTAAACATTTGCACACCTTGTTACTCAGCAGTTTCACTAGAGATATTCCCTAGAGAAAGTCCACACCAAGAAACATGAAAGCTATTGTTCGTAGCAATATTATTTGTAATAGCATAAAATAAGGGAGAGATCAGAAAGAGTGGGAGGAATATTATTCAGTAGGAAGAAGGATTAAGTTGGATATAATCACATACTAAAAGGAATGAATTATAGTTATAAATGATGACATAGATGAACCTAAAAAATAATGTCAAGGATGGATAAAAACACATCCCACAAGGTTATGTAAAGTATAGCACTATTTTTTGAGGATCAAAAACAAGTAAAACTAGGGGCCGGCCCAGTGGCGCAAGCAGTTAAGTGCTCGTGCTCCGCTGTGGTGCCCCAGGGTTCGCCGGTTCGGATCCTGGGTGCGCACCGACACACCGCTTGGCAAGCCATGCTGGGGCGGCATCCCATATAAAGTGGAGGAAGATGGGCATAGATGTTAGCCCACAGCCAGTCTTCCTCAGCAAAAAAGAGGAGGATTGGCAGATGTTATCTCAGGGCCGATCTTCCTCACAAAAAAAAAAAGTAAAA